CACTCTACCTCCATTAGTACCACCACTGTCACCAATGACACACTCATTTCCTTCATCTCCACCAACCCCATTTTCTCCTTCCCTATCAACTCCATTTCCTCCTTCTAAACAAGAATTTTTAATGAATTGAGAAGAAATAAATAAAGATAAAATAAATCCCTCTCCAGAACCATCAGTAGTGTGGAGACGAAGGAGGAAGCGGAGGTGCTACCACCTACCAAAATTAAATAGGATTATTCTACTTGAACATAATGGACACCAATAGGGGGCACTACTTGGACATTATGGACACCATTATGGTGTTCATTATGTACCCCCAGCATTACTCAATTAAATATAGCTACAGTTCAACCCCCTAGAGATCATTACAAGACTGCTCGACTGGGATGAACAAATTATCCTAATAAAGTTGATTACACATGTTTTTAGAGGCCGTATGTGAGACACACGACCCTTTAAACTCGCGATTTAGGAAATAAAATAGAACACTCTATACCTTTTCTTCATGAACATAAGGTTATAATAGTCTTTTAAAATAAAAATTGACATTTTAACCGTCAACTTAATGGTTTTCGCAATGCAGTACCATCAAATGTCCAGATAGATCGATGAGTCAGAAACTACTTTTAATGGTGGAGAGCCATTTTCACACTATGTGAAAGATTGAGGAGTCCAACCCTAATATTTCCATTCCAAAAATTTACAATGCATCAGAATATTTGTAAGTACTTTCAATTTCATAGTATAGTCTTAAAGATGCTAAATATAAAAAATTTAACCAAGAATGTTAAACTGGACTTAACAAGAATCATTCTTAAATAACACGAACTTAGTCAAGCACAATAATCATATCATTCTTAAATGATTATTCTCTTTATCTGTTTAAATTTTTAGATGAGATGAACCAGACAAAAATCACATGGTCCAGTCTCTGAGTCACCATTTTATGAATACACCAATGAATCTGATCTGCAAGTGAGGGGGCAGATGGCGTGTTGGACGCCAAGTGAATTTTTGGATAGGCGTTAACTTACTAGACACAATAAACATGACTTCAAAGCTACTCAAATTACAAAAGAGTTGCAGAAAACATACGCCTCCATTACTCTAATTTGCAGAGCAGTGTGTCTGCGATATCTCTTTCTCTTCTTCTTTTTATGAGTGTCTTCATCTTCTTCATCGCCATGCTCTCCTTCTGCTTCATAATCATCGTCCGAGAGCGATTTCAAGGGGCCGGAATTCTCACTGCTTATTTCCACTGTCTCTTCTCTCCGGCCACCAAAACCACCTCGCTCTCCATCTCCCTCCTCCACTTCAACGGTTGTAGCCGCTTTGGGTCTGCCATTCCGGAAAATCCCAGCCTGAAAAATGAATTATTAGCAAGTTTATATAATCAGACACGACTAGAAAATCAAGGGGGAAAAAAAAAAGCAGATGTGGAAAAGGTACAAGACTGAGAGAGAGAGCTGGACTGGCAAGAAAATCTTTGGTAAGAGAAGATTGAGGATTCGACATGTCTGCAACTTCCATGGCTGTTTGGTTTGTTCTTTAAAGTATTAATTGGGGTGGGGTCTTCCTCATTAAAAATAGTAGATAGAACGGAGAGGCATTGAAGAGGAGTACTAAGAGAAAGATGGTGGGAATGGCTGGTAGAAGTTGACTGACAGTCGTCAGATACATATTTGTTGGGGGTGTGGGGTCCAAGTTTATAGCTATGTTTAAAAATAATTAAAAAAAAAGAAAAGTTAGGAGTCATAATTAATTCTTGAGACTTAAAATTTATTTAATTTGAACTACAAAAAATGTGGGATCCAAAAAACAAAGGAAAATGATATTTGTACATTGGGGTTGACACTTCGGTGTACACTCTCTTCACATGAGAGGATATGCTCCATGACAATAAAAAAAATCTTGAGATACCCCATGTGAAGGGAGTGTACACCGAAGTGTCAACCCCGATGTACGTGTAGCAAAATTGAAAAACAAAAGTAGTTTATAGTCATGTTTAGAAGTTATTTTTTTAAAGAGAAGAGAGAGAGAGAATAAGAATCATAATTAATGCATGGTACCTATAATTTGTTTAATTCGAGCCACAAAAAGTAGGACCTACAACAAGTATTGGGTCAATTGAATTTATGACCATGTTTAAAAGTTATTTTTTTAGAAGAATAATGTTATTTAATATCAATAGTATTAAAATATTAGTTCAAGTGATTACATTTTAAAGATTGAATTAAAGAAGTTATATGACTTTGTATTTAAATGAGTCTATCATTTAATTCTATGTAATTGCCACATAGATTAGTACTTAACACCAGCTATAATGAATAGCATTACTCTCTTTTTTTCACATGTTGATAATGTATGAGTCACAATTATACTGAGGGTGAGGGATCCCCATTTTATTATTTTGGACCATGAAAAAAGTACCTGGTACCGTTATTTTTTTTTTTACAAGGTGTCCTATTCTAAACTAATCCTTGGGTCTGTGATCCGGCCCCTCTTCACACAGTCCGGTTAATCGCAGGATGTGCCTCCAACTGGCCAGGGTCCGAGCGCTCCCCACCTG